TCCAGTGAGAAAAACTGTAAGTTGGAATATGTTTGATGTTTTTATTTTTAATATACTTATTAAGTGTGGGTAGGGAGATAAGTGCGTACACGCATTTCTGTGAATGGATGTGGGTGTATACAGAGGTCAGAGGTCAATGTCTGTGTCTTCCTCTGTCACTTTTCATCTTAGTTTTTGAGATAGCATCTCTCTCCCACTGAAATCTGGAGCTCACCGCCAGCAAGCCTAGCTGGCCAGCCACCCCTAGGGAGCCTCCTCCTGCCCCCATCTCCATGTCCCCAGCACTAGGATTGCAGGCTGTGCCACCATGCCCAGATCTTTACATGGCTGATAAGGGAAGGTTCCAAACTCAGGTCCTCACGCTTGCACAAGACAAGCACTTTACATACTGAGCCATATCCACATCCCTTCTGGTTTTCCCTTTTAAAGAGTGACTCTCATTGATAGAGGAAGTTCCAGCCCTGTCTGTCATCTTCTTAAGGCACTCTGATCTAGAAACACAGGTCAAACTTCTTCCTCCAGCCAGAAGTCTGAAGACATGCTACAGCTGCAGCCCGAGGACATCATAGCTACGCTCACATGGTTTGTATTTCTAATCATTGGTTTCTGTCGAGTTAAAAAAAAAAAAATCTTGTGTGGATGCTCTTTTCTGAGCAGTGTGACTTCACTGTATTATATACAAGCTGTTATTTTTAAATGGACAGTTCTGTACGTAAAGCCTGAAATTGCCTCCCAAGGACCGTCTTACACAGTTTCTGGATCATGTAAACAGCTAAGTGCTTGAGTCTGTGCGATCACTTCCTGTCCAAGATCAGCAGCATTTTCCTTCAAGTGTATCAAGCAACTCAGCAGCTGCATTCAACTGGTCAGAACAGGGAAATGAGAGGCCATCGAATAGCTCATTCCAAAGTCCAAATACTATCCTACGCTCCTGGCTCAAGGTCACAGTCAGGAATCGACAGTAATAAGCAGAAAATCCAGTTTGAACAACCTCAAGGAAGGAACAAGAGCAAGGCAGAAGGGCAGGGGTGGGGTGGGGTGGTGGTGGGGCACAAGAAATAGAGAAGACTAGGGGGGGGGGCAAGTTTGATTGCCTCTGTATATGAAAAGTTTGTGAATTGGATTGTTAGGCACAGTAATTCCAAACTCAGGGTGATGAGATGTCTCAGTGAGTAAAGAACTTGCCAACAAGCCTGACTGAGTTCAGTCACTAGAGCTCACATGATGGAAGGAGAGAACAAGTTCCCTCAAAATGTCTCCTAACCTTCACAGTTGCTCCACAGTGAAGCAAGCTCTCTCTCTCTCTCTCTCTCTCTCTCTCTCTCTCTCTCTCTCTCTTTCTCTCCTCCCCCCCCCCCCACCCCCCTTTTTTAAACCTCACCTGATGCTACCAGGTCCTACCCCCCAGCCTCTTTCTTCTGGGTGGACACTATTAGGGTCAGCTCATTTGACAAGGTTCAGTCCAAACCAGGATGGATTTAAACAAACAACAAGCAGACATGACATGTGTCTCAGTTTCCTGATTTGTCTGGACATGGAACACACCAGCCAGACCCATTCCTAGAATCAACCAACCTCCCTAAAGCTGTGCAAGCTTCCTGTAAAGTAAGGCAGGCTCCCTCCAAGTAGACGATGAGAAGCGGAGAGGATACCTGCTAGCCAAGCCATAACCAGCCACCATGGGGCCAGTCAGCATTTGTGACAGCTCTATCGAAAACAGACAATAAGGAAAAATTCATCACTTTGTTGGAAGATTAAAAATTCAAAGTAAGTGTTACATCAACAGAAAATCAATCATATTACTCCTATTTAAAGTGTGGATAATGCCCAGCCATTGATGGTTACCTTTTTGATACCTTAGCAGGTATCAAAAAGAATAAGAAGCCTGGAAGACAGCTGGCTCTGTCAGCATTCACTGTTCGAGCAAGGGGACTTGAATTTGGTCCCCAGCACTCATATAAACTACTGGGCATGGTGGCTTAGATTTACAGTCACAGCACTGAAGAGGCAAAGAGGTGGATGGATCCCTGGTGTTTGCTGGCAGCCTATCCTTCTTGGTCCAGTGAGAGACCCTGACTCAAAAAACCAAGGTGGATGGCTCTGGAGGAATGACATCTGAGATTGGCCTCTTTTCCATCCGTATTTCTCCCTAGGAAAGTACCACTTCATGGCAGACCTGTGTATCCAAACAGAAGAGAGAGAGAAGCAGTGATCTTGTCATCTTATGCTGGAGTCTTAATGGTGAGGGAAAGAACACTGTATGCAGACATTCCATGTCTTTTTTTTTTTTTTAATTTTTCAAGGCAGGGTTTCTCTGTGTATCTCTGGCTGTCCTGGAACTTGCTCTGTAGCCCAGGCTGGCCTCAAACCCACAGAGATCCAGCTGCCTCTGCCTCCCAAGTGCTGGGATCAAAGGCGTGCGCCACCACCACCAGGCTTCATTCTATGACTTCTAAGCTCATTTTGGTACCAATGCATATTTATGTGTTTTCAATATTGATCCTAAATGCCTGGGATTTACTAAGAGTAGCATTTATGATTTTAAATGCATAATAAAAAATTTAGCTTCCATACCGTATTGCAAAAAATATTTATGGAAGAGAAGAAAAAAAGATATTAGTGTCTAGAAAACTTGTTTACACATTAATCTAGAAATTATAGTCTACTTGCTGTGCTGCCTCACACTGTATTAGACCCATTGGAGCAGCCGTAATTTTGTTTTTTAATAAAGAAAAAGCCACAATACAACAACACATTGTTTTTAATTTCACAGAACAGTATCCCAATTGAGAAAGTCCTTAAAATTTATGGGGCCTATTCCTCAGCCAATCCTGATTCTACCAAGGTAAGCCTGATATGAGACTTTTTTTTTTTTTTTTTTTTTTTTTTTTTTTTTTTTTTTTTTAGTTTTTAGTTTTTTTATTTGTTTTTCCAGACAGGGCTTCTCTGTGTAGACCTGGATGTTCTGCATCTCACTCTGTAGACCAGGCTGGCCTCAAACTCACAGAGATCTGCTTGACTCTGCCTCCCAAGTGCTGGGACTAAAGGCGTGCACTACTGCTGCCACCACCACCACCACAGGGAGATATGAGACAACTAATATACATGCTAGGGATTGAACTCTGGGCCCGTTTATGGGTATGCTAAGCAAGTGCTGTACCACTGACATATACTCCCAGCCCTTAGCTCATAGCTCTTTATGTCTATGTATCTGTGTCTGTGAGTATGTACATGTGTGTTGCTGGGGACTCTACTCAGAGTCTTCTACATGCTAAGCATCCGTTTTACCATTTAGCTGCATTCTCAGACCTTGGATGAGATTATTTAGCATATATATTCACATGACATATTTTCAGGCATCAGTTAAATAACAATTTTATGTCAAAAAGTAAAAACTGAACTAGTGAGATTGCAGCTCCTGCAGTAAATACTGATTCCCTGATTCAAATCCAAAAACTACGCAGTGGAAGGAGAAAACAAGCACACTCCTGCAGGCTGCCCTCTGACCTTTGCATGAAAGCTTGTGCCCACCATCCCCTGTTGTAGCCATCCATAGTAGGCCCAAGTTGCAGTGCCAATCTGTTGTAATCCGTCTTTGTGGGGCTTCAGTCAAATCCAGGTGACTTGCCAGGTTCGTACATGAGAGGGGGAGTGTGGATTGAGAAACGGCAGATAAAGACGCTAAGAAAAGACAGAGACACAGGCAATCCAGTGACTACTGGATGCCCCAAGTTTATTCTTCAACATTCTTAAGAACCCCAACCAAAAGGGGGACGTGGCAAAAGACTTCTTTATCATGTACAAGGAACAAACAGACTTCCTTAATTCTCCAAACATTTGGTAGCCACACCTTAGACTCAATTTCCTATTATCTGGCCTTGAGGGTCAAGAATAACCACACCTCAGACTAAGTGTTGTTATCTAGATAAAACATCCCTGACCAAGATCAAACATCCTACAGTAGCCACGAGTTTTGAGACAGGGTTTCTCTGTGGCTTTGGAGGCTGTCCTGGAACTAGCTCTTGTAGACCAGGCCGGTCTGGAACTCACAGAGATCCACCTGCCTGTGCCTCCTGGGTGCTGGGATTAAAGGCATGTGCCACCAATGCCCGGCTAATTCTAATTTTAATAAAGATAAAAACCAGATGCAGCTACATCTTGAGTCACACATGCTTGTAAAATACCCCCTTGTAAGTGGAGCAGTACATAGTAGCTGCCAGTGTGTTTTGTGGATGGCTGAGTCTGGCAGCAGAGAGAGCACTGGACTAGGAGTCCAGATCCCATTGTTTCTGCCCACTGTAACTTCTCACTGGTGCTTTCAGTACTGTGGACCTAGAAAGTCATACTCTGCCATTTGTTTGATTTATTCTACCATTCAGAATGAGGACCAGATCCATTAGGCTTATGCTCAAGCATAAAGACCCAGCTAATGGTGGCCACCTGCCTTTTCTCATTGACTTCCCAACTGCCAAATGTGTCCTAGGGACAAAATCACATCTGATTAAGACTCACAACTCTAAGCATCCAAACATTAAACAGCTAATCAAGTGTGTATATTATTAACACAATGCAAACTTGGCCTATCTGAGTAGCCAGTTCCCCGAGTGATTGCGGTTTGAGGAAGTAATGCTAGCAGCCCTTCCCCCCACCAGGAGCTCCTACCCACCCTTGCAGAATTGCAGGCTTGACTGCACCTGAGGACTTCTCTTCAACTTGGATGAGAAACCAGCAGGATCTCTCAGCAGCAATGTAGCATTTCAAAAATTAAACTGTAGGACCACTTTGGGGTTTAACATAACTTCAAAAGTAATGATTTTAATTAGAAGCTGGCATGGTTTAACAACAATATTGTCAAAGGTTCTTTAATTACCACTTCTATCGGAATGACCTTTGACTCCTTTGGATAAAATGTTGCCAAAGCAACAGCTGAAATAGTTTCTAAGCCAGAGTTTAAAACCTGGTGGAATACAAATCTGATTAGGATGAATTTCTGGCAACTGGAAACGACTTGGAACTGTGCAGTCTAGTGACTTTCTCTGAGACTCTCTGCTGCTCCCTGGTGATAGAAAGGCGCCAAGGCAGGTTCTGATCACTATCTGCGGTAGGCCTGATAGATGGCCATTTTTTGTTAATAAGGAATTTGGTTTTCTGTTTGTTTTGTTTTTCTGATGAGGAGTCTGAACCCAGAAAAGGTTCAATTAAAGCCTTTACATAAGTGTGGGATATTTACCACTGTCTTCACATACATATAAAATACCTAATTGAAAAATAATAAATCGTCCATGAGCCTATAAAGCAACTGATAAAAACATTCTTCAGCCTCATTTGACAGAAGGGGACAAAAGAAAGGAAGGCAGACAGAATAAAAGTGGGTGGAAGGAGAGAAGGGCACTGAACAAAGAACCCCAGGGCATCAGCTTTCCTCTGTCTTCCCACAGCTCACCCCATTTTAAGAGCCAGCATTCAAATCTGTCCTAAGCAACCCTCATAACTCCGTAGGCAAAGCAGACATGGCCCAGACCCAGACCCATGCCCTCCTAGCTGCATGCCTCCCATTAGTTATTTTTCCCTGATCTCAAGTTCCCTATGTGTAAGTAAGCCTGAGGTCACGCCCCCAACCACACCAGGCTGTTCTGGGGATTAAGTGGGACCGTGCATATCGATTACATGATGGCCCGAGGAGAGCCTTCCATACTGTTACCATTACTGCTAAGCCCACCCTGCTGGAGACACCAGCCTCTTCCCAGTAGGTGGCTCTTCCAGGGTCTATGTTTTTTGCAGTGCTTTGATTAAAGACAGGACCTTGTGCCTTCTGCACCTCCTAGACATGCACACTATCTCTGAGCTGCATCTTGAGTCTTGTGTGTGTGTGTGTGTGTGTGTGTGTGTGTGTGTGTGTGTGCGCGCGCGCACCTGTTTTTGGAGACCCAAAGTTGACATCGTGTGTCCTCTTCAATCACACACCTTTGATTTTACTTTGCATGTTTATGTGTGTGGGGGGGCATCTTGGGTATATGCATATTTGCATGCCCAAGTGTGCAAATGCATGTGGAAGCCAGAGGCTGTTGTCAGGCCCTCAGTCACTCTCCTCTTTGTTTATTGAGGTATGGGCTGTCGCTGGGTGAGAGGGAGTTGAGACCTCTGAGTTGTTTTCTCTATGTGTTTCTGTTGAACAGCCTGGATGTACGTGTCTAGGAAGTTGCTAAACTACGGAGTATGAGCTTGCTCAACACTCCCATGAAGCCAGTTGTTTTCCAAAGTGATTGCACTGTTCTATAAGCAGTGTATGCTATCTACACAGATATTTTCAAAACAGAGAGAATGTGTAAATTAGTAGTTCACTTCGGACTTTGTTATGGATTTGTTTGTTTGAGAGTGAGTCTCCTAGCACAGGATGACCTCAAACTCATGGAGAAGGAAAGGACGACTTTAAACTAGTGATCCTCCTGCCTCCATCATCTGTGGCTTTAATTCATATTCTGATCACCAATCAACAACTATGTATATTTCCTCTTTGGGAAAGGACCTATTAAGGTCATTTGTCTGTCTTTCTGATGAACTGTCCTTCTGTCTCCATCTTTCTGTCTCTCCCCACCCCCAGAAAGTCAGAGCTTTTGGGGAAACTACTATAGAACAGCATCAATAGGCTTCCTCAATAATTTGTAAAGTTTTTCACGACCATAAAAATGTTCTGAAACATATTTTTGCCACATTTTCAGAGCTCCCTGGGTATGTGCTAGCAACCCTTCCAGACAACATGCCTGGTTTCGAACTTTGGTAAACTTGATAGCTGGCTGTATAAGACTCTGTCCAATTGTTTTGACACCAAGGGTCGGAGTCCAGCCCTCTCCCCACACACTTCCTGTCTTGATGAAGTCATAACAATATTTGTATTTATTTAAAATATATTTATATCATTTCACCTCTCCCTTGCCTCCTTCCTAACCTTCCTCCTCCTCCCACTATTCTTTCCCTTTTATTGTTGCTATAGCAACAAGACTGCTTCAGCCTGATAGGCAGGAGATAAAGACATGACCCTTACCTCCTCCTCCCTTGTGCGTCCTCTCCCTGTCTTCTTTGGATCAGTGCCTGCATGCCTTAACACAACCTCATCTTCCCTCAGCTTGAAGAAACTTCTGCTGACTGTGCTGTGGCATTTAGCAAGCTCATGGACTAACATGTGATTAATATAATCCTCTAACAGAGAGACGATGAGAACAGACTCAGAGTTAAAACACGATTAACTCCAGGTTAGGAACCAAGCATCACCCTACTTTTATAACAATCCTTCAAATAAACCACACAGGAAGCTAAATGGATTGCTGGTGTGAGTCATAGATTATCAGGACTCAAGGAACTTCATCATATAATCAGGCTGGCAGTGACCTGTGCAAATCTCAGTTCTGTCTGCCCTGGGGCAGGAACACTGGAGCCCGATAAATACCTGCTATTTTGGTTTTGTTTTTTTTATCCAGGATAGCACAGGAGCCTATTTCCCTTTCCTTATGCCTGACACACAGCAGCCATAATTACCAATCTCTATCTGAAGCCTCTTTTCCAGTTAGTTTTTGTGCCAGAAGGTCATCTTTCGAAACGGGTATTCTAGTTTGTTTCCTGTTGCTGTAATAAAGAAACCTGATAATCTAAGAGATAAAGGGTTTGACTCTCAGTTTCAGAGTATAGTCCATCACTGTGGGGATGTCAAGGAGGCAGGAACTTGGAGCATTTGAAGGTCACAATATATCCACAGTCAAGCAGAGAGCAATGAGTTAATGCATGCTCAATAGCATTTAGCTTGCTTCTTCACTGTTATACAATCCACTATCCCTTGCTAAGGAATAGTGC